AGCAAGATGGATTTCCGTCTGGCCCCCCAGCCAGGGAAATGACACCAGGGTCCCAAAGGTGGAGGAGGGTCAAGGAACTCCAGCAGGAGAATGATGCTTGGAAAAGAGCCTTGCAACCGAGAAAGCAGGAGCTGGTCAGTTCGGCTGGAATGTTGCACCAGCAGGCCATGCTCAGGGAACAGCAGCTGTTTGCCCATCAGCAGCATTTTGTTGAGTGGCAAAAAATCAAGTTTGCTGAACTTGAAGCTGCTGGAGGTGTCCAGAGGCTTGGAAAAAAGCCAAAGACAGCAAGCCAGTCCAGCTCAAGGAGCTGGGCTGATCAGAGTGAGGAGGAGGCTGACTGGGACAGAAAGTCCCAGGATGAGTGCCAGGGCTTGAAACAAAGCCAGAACCAGAGCCTGCAAAAGAAACAAAACTTGAGAAGCTGAACAAGCTCTGGGGTGATAAGGTTGCAGAAAGAAAAAATTACAGCAACAAGCTGAAGCTGTGGTAGACTGTGCATGAAGGCTTGAAAGAGAGCCAAAAAGTAAACTGGCTTGAGTTAGAGCCTAGGAATGCACTTAGCAGCAAGCTGAAAACAGAACCCAAAACAGAGTAATTCAATAAATATTTAATTTTAACAATCAAAAAATGGTACAACAAATACACAAATAAATTACTTATGAAATAAAAAACTTCGAAATCAAGACATTTCACAAATTTTACAAAATCATTTTGTGAATCACAAAACCATCTTGTGAATCACAAAACCATCTTGTGAACCACAAAACCATCTTGTGAATCACAAAACCGTCTTGTGAATCACAAAACCACTTTGTGAATCACAAAACCACTTTGTGAATCACAAAACCATCTTGTGAATCACAAAACCGTCTTGTGAATCGAAAAACAAACCTTGTGAATAAAAAAACAATTCTTGTGATTCACAAAGTTGCCTTGTACAGTAGCTATTCTGGCTCAATCTTTTTTTGGACTTCATATCACCAAGTGGTGCAAGGAAAAGGCCTGCTGCAAAGAGCAAGGCCAAAGACTCTGATACCAAAAAGTAACAATGCAGATAGGCTTGAAACAAAGCCAAATGAAGGAGGGGCAACCCCAGGAGGTGATGAGACCGCAAAGGAGAAAGATCCTGAGGCAGAGCAACCTGTTTTGAAAAATTTCACTGCCTCACAGTTGCTGAACCACAATAAATTTTTGGTAGAAGTTGAAGAGTTGAAAAATGGAACCATCACTGAAGGTGAGTTCCTGGGTGGCTTGCAACAGAGCCAAAAGCAAGGGTTGTTCCACATGATGGAAAAGAGATCTGCAGCAGAAAATGAAAACTGGAAACAAATGGTTGGCCCTGGAAGCAAGAAAAAGAAAAACACACAGCTGCTTCAATTTCTGAGGCAGGGTGGCTTGACACAGAGCCATGTAGAACAAAAAGCCAATTTTGCACAGGGGTGGAATGCCACCAAAGATGTGGAATGGGTGAGTTGGAAAAAGGTGTGTGAGCAATATGGAGAGCAGGAAGCAACCACCGTCCAGAGGCAAAGAAAAAGGGCCTGAAGATCTGGCAGTTTTGCAAGGTTTCAGAAAAGACAAGATTCAACCAAGGCTTGCAACAGAGCCTAGAAGCCACATGTGCCAAGGACACAAATGAAAAAGAACATAGGAAGTTCACCAAGGCTTTGCTATCATTGGAGCCAGAGGGTTCTGAAGAAGAAGCCTTTAGCAGGGCACTGTGGCATAATCACAAAAAGAAGCCAAAGGCTTTAATGGATGGCTTGGAAGAGAGCCTGGAAGACAGCTCTTCTGAAGAGAATGAATGCGACAGTGAAGAGATGCCAGAGCCAGACCAATTCTTGGCTGAGCTGGAAGGTCAGGCAAGCAGCAGTAAGCCACAGAAGCCTGATAAAGCCACTAAGGCAGAAGAAAAAAAGAGAAAGCAAGAAGCAAGGAACATGAGAAGAAAAAAAGAGAAGAAGACCCCCACCACATGTTTAAAGTGTGGTCAGAGATCTCTGAGGCTTACAAGATCTTGAAAATCGCAGAAAGGTTCACAAACATTGCCATCAATCAGTTCACCAATGGTGAGAAGCCATGGTCGCAAAAGCCATTGTTGAAAGGAAAGGCTGCAGAGCTGAAGCACTTGGCGCCTGTCCTTGCACTGGTGGCTTGGAATAAAGCCAAGCACTTTGGCACAATGGGACTAGGGCCACAAAGCTTACAGATTCCTTCTGTCAAAAGTACCTTCTTGGGTACCAGTTGAGGATCAATGACTTTGTGTGAGGTTTGAAAGAGAGCCATGCCCATTTCCATGCTTGGGGGCTTGAAACAGAGCCACGCAGACCCAGCCAACAGAAACAAACAGTTTCAAGATATAGGTTGTCATATCAACACCTCTGATCTTCTCTTTGAAGGTTTGGGGATAGGTTTTGGGGCTTTGTAAAAAAACCGATCCCCAGGATTGGTAAAAACCGATCCTGGGGATTGGTTTTTTCTTGATGTTGGGGATTGGTTTTTTGATGCTCAAAAACCGATCCTGGGGATTGTTTTTTCTTGATGTTGGGGATTGGTTTTTTTAAGATGCCCATCCCCCCCAGAACCGATCCCCACAAAAACCGATCCTGAGATTGGTTTTTTCGATCTCAGATGCTCAGGGTCTTCACGCCACGACCCAGGTCCTCCAATGCAATCTCGTGGAAGTCGACTTCTTCCCCCGATCGCCATCGATCCTTTGGGCCAGGAGCTCCTACGGCTTCCGGCGCTCCCGGCCGCTTTGGCCTTCGCCTTGGCCACAGCTTTTCCTTTTGCCTTGGGTTTTGCCTTTGGAGCCATTGCTCTCAATGGCATCCGTAGTAATAGCCCCGAAGTCGATGCTTGACACCCTTGGATCCCCTAGTCGCCTGGGCGGCGGGCTGTTGCCCCGAGTCCTGGGTCGGCGACCCCTTTGCTCGCCTCCGTACGAAAGAGGTGGATGGTCGGGCTCAACTGGCCCGGTTCGAACTGGTGCCGGTGTGATGGTGCTGGCTTTGGAGCTGGCTGCAATCCCAAATCTGGTCCTGCCACTGGCGATGACTTTGCTGGGGGAGGGGCTGGTGAAGGTTCCCTTGACTTGACTGGACTCCCTTCTCTGCGCCTCCTCTTGCCTTTCTCTTTCCTCTAAGGCTCCTGCAAAGACCCACGCTTCCTCCTTTTATTCTTTTTGACTGCCTCCTCACCTTCAGCGTCTTTCTCCTTCTCCGACCCGGCCGGTGCTGAATCTCGGGCCTCCTCACCTGCGTCGTCCTTCATGGACCCTCCTTGGCCTCGTCCTCCTGCTCGTTCTTCACGACCACACGCTCAGGAGCTGAAAGGCGTCCCGACTCACCACTGGTATCAGGTGCACTATATAGTCACCCGCCTCACTCCCGAAGGATCAATGGGAGTCAATGTTGCTCCACCCCCAGCGTCTTCTGCAAAGCCAACGGGGTTCGAGTCCTGTCGCTCTCGGCCAGATCAAGCAAAGCTCCAGCCGCTGTCCGAAGAATTGCCAAAGCCTCCTCCTCCTCCTGACCACGGAGCAGCAGGCCACCGCAAAGCAACTCACGGATCCGCTTGTGAGTACGGCACAGGCGACAGGGGTTCCCACCGAATAACCCGCAAACCGAGCAGGTCATTCAAAGCTTAAACCCAAACACTGCGGAACACGCGGAATGAGGTGCATCTTACATTACGGGGCCGTAACTACATAAATATTAATTAGTTATTGCACGTTTTGGCGGTTGCTCATCCGGGCTGAATGTGCAACACTTTGCACCTTAGACTCTGCGCAGCATTGAAAGCGGCAACAAGCTCCCATCTTGCCCGCTCTGCAACCATGGGATCGACAATCTGCGCGTTACCAATCATCAGCACAGCCGTCAGTGCGGCAATCAGGTACAAAGCGTGGAACTCTTTAACCGGGCCAACTTGATGATTGCGCAACAGCAGAACAGATCCTTTTCATCTCTGAAGGACGTAAGAAAGTAAGGTAAGATCTCGTAACTTTGCCTGCAATGATTCAGAAGCTCGTATCCTGCTTCTGAGACAAACAAATAGCATCGCAAACCTGGCGCCTGTCCAATGCAATCGCTCGATCAGCCAAAAAAACGATGCGCCACAATGGGGCTTGCAGGCGCTCCCGTCAGGCTGCGACTTGTACGGAGGCCAAAGCACAGGCAAGCCCTTCCAGGCAATAAAGCAGCATAATAAAGTTGTCCCGGCTGTCGGGTCAAGCACTCCTCCTCGCAGCTCGAAGATGGTACGGGTGCGGAACAGAGACAAAACTTTGAGATGCCAGCTTGGGTCGGCAGAAGCACCAATTAATAACCATATATATTGAGGCTTTTAAGCTGTTGAATCTTGAATGCGTATCCCTCTTAGCGAGCTTGAGACAAACGTTAGTATATATGTCAAAATGAATGCTTTCAGCTACACCTACATAGAAGTCACAACACGGCTGACAAAGGCCTGTATACATTTTAGGACATTTTTTACATAAATATTCTGAAACTAACTGTGCTATTCGAGTATAAACGAGAACCGGACTTTTTTGTATATTGTTTTCTTTCCGTGTAGCCAAGAAGCCGCGGCATATTTAAAGCTAAAGAGAATAGACAGTTCGATTGATGGCTGCATTATATTCGTGCATCTTCAGCAGCTGATTCTGTGTACAGTGAGTAATTGTAACCTGAAAGGATATGCTGCGCAAAAGTTTTAATTTCGTTGCGCAATGCAGCCAGTTTTGCTTCAATTGTACTGTTGAGGGGTCTGTCTTCTTACGGACAACTTCAACGGATTTCAACTGCGAATCCAATCATTCACTAGGGCATCTCCTCTTTGGAGCCAAACATCCTATTCCCAAGCTCACTTCTGTAGCGCAACAAAAGAGAGCCGTTGTTTGATAAGGTAAATGAAAGAAACACATGCGAGTTGAACTGTGTTTCTTGCACTCTACATGATCATGACCAGGATGCAGGATAACAATCGCACCAAGCCTGCCGCAAATCTGCACCAAGCCTGACCAATCTATGAAGAAACCCAGGTGCAAGTGAGAACCAACAGGCGAGTAAACAAAGCAACAAACCAGAATGAGAATAAGCTCGCCGCACTAGCAGCTCTCGGCGTGAACCAATTTGCTCGTCATCTTTAAAGGACCTTCACGCACCATCACAAAATTATTCATTGTGTAAGATGAACTGGCAGGAGCCAGGACTCTTGTGCTGCAATGTCTCTTGGCTTCTGGCGCAAAAGTCATGCCACTGTCCAGCGATGCGGTCTTCCGCAACTGGGAAAGTTGAAGTTGGCTGCGAGCAAAACATTGGGCTAGCTAGCATGGAGCTGCCTAGTTTCCCAGTGGGTTGCATATCAGAATAGAAGGCTTGACAGCAAAAGTAGACCACAGCCTCAACCGTCTCAACACGAGGAACCCCATTCCTAGAATTATAGAATTCTTGCCGCATGCCCTGCCCGTTCAGGTGTTGCCTTTATGACTGAAGCTGCGTTTGGAACGAAAAAGAATCCGTGGACATGAAACAAAGTAGCAGAAATGTCTATGCACTTGAAGGATGAGCATCGTGCCTGGGAAAATGAGACAGAAGTGTGCTTCGGTTGGACACATAGCATTTGTCCTCTACCTACCCTTAATGGTCACATTATTTCGGTCAGGCAGTAGAGGTTCACTTGCAGGCCCTCATTCCTCATGAGCTACTTGTCTTGAGATACTGTTCAGTTCTTTTTCTTTTTATATACTGCATTCTTCCTCCTTCTTTGAGCACTTCACCCTGTATGAGCTTCCTTTTTGATTGCTTTTTCAAGTGGCAATAGGCTCCTGTATTCAAATATGTTTCTGTGAAGAATGTGGAACACAAACGTGAACACACTCAAGTGATCGACCGCTCGAAGTGTCGACACGGAACACGAAAAGGTTGCACTGCTTTTGCGTGCCATGCGTGAAGCTCAAGAGGCCTCTGTTGGCCGGTTCGAGACGGAAAGGCATCAGCGACCATGGATGGTCAAAAGCTCATGCCCAATGCGCAGCGCGCATTTCACACCGGTGGTTGTCACCAAGGGAGTCGGCGGTCCACGCCAGTGAACTCTCGCCAACCATCTGCTTCTCTCTGCGCGCAAAATGCGCAGTACTCCAGCGTTCTCATGGAGCTCTTGTCTGCATTGGTGAGGCCCTGGCACTCTGCGTCCACATGGTACTTATTGCCAGTTCTCGTGCGCCATACCACTTGGGCCAAGGGGTTGACCTGCAGTCGATGCTGCATGTCCATCAGGGTCTGCACCGCGCGCTGCCACTTCATCCTCATGTCCTTGTACTTGCCGTCCAGCTCGCCAATCTCGCCGCTGAGGAAGTCCCTCATGGTCACCAGGTCGTCGACCTGTCGCTCCAGCTCATCATTTTCACTTTCCAACTCTTCGCACTTGTCCTTGAGCTCGGCGTTGTAGGAGTCGGAGTCCCTGAGGTCTTGTCGTAGTCGGTCGACTTCAGCTCTAAGGAGGCCGAACATGTTCTTTTCTTCGGAGGCTTCGGCCTGCATTCCAAAGTCCCTTGTTGAAGAGCTCGAGGTTGTCATAGTCCATGTCTCTGTGTAGGTTCTTGTAGCCGTTGAGGTCGTTGTAGACCACTTCCTGCCCAGGTTCCATCCCACATAGGTCATCAGGATGATGAACAGCGTGAGGGTCATTTCGGGCGAGAAGACAAAGTCGAGGGCCACCTCGAACGACGGTTGGTAGGCTTGGACCATGGCCATCTGTGAGGTCAGGATCATCTAGGCCAGCCTGTTGTGGTTGCCTGTCCTGCTGATTGCATGCCTGCGGGCGTTTGCCTGCCTCTCAGCTAAGGTCTTCTTCTTTGCCGCTTGAAAGGTCATGTCAGACCTGAGAGAGATCTTGTGGCTGCGTAGTCGATCGGCAAACAGCTGTCGGGCCGAGGTTTTGGTAACCCCGTCAGCCAGTTGGATCTCCGAGCTGACCCAACGTAGTTTGGTGTTCATGCCCAACATCTTTTGTTTTGTCACCATGACCTCGATCTTCGTTCTTTTGTCTCCTTGGAGACTTGGAGTTTCAGCCTTGAGGCTGTCATAGAGAGCTTTCGCGTCCACCACCAGTGCCGAAGGCAGTGAAGGCTTGAGCTCGCTGACCTGGCGCAGCTGGAAGTCACTGTTCAGGCATCCTTCCCAGAAGATGAGGAGGTACTCCAGGGCGTCCATCGCTGCAGAGCATGCTTGGCTCTCTGCATTCAGTGAGGACCGACTGATCCTTGGAAGTTTGAAACTCCTCCAGTCCAGGATGGTGTAGTCGTGGTCGAGGGTGTTGTCCTCAAGCACTGACTTGTGACATAGGAGCACCAGATAGCCACCTTGGCTTTCATTGTTGCGTCTCACCCCCCATGCAGCATCACTCATAGCCACCATGCATAGGTCATCCAGCGAGCCACCCATAGAGCGGAACACCAAGCCGGCGTCGTTGTTGTTCTTTGCGAAACGTAGGGTCTTGTTCGCTTGCTGGGCCACATTGACCGTGGAAGTGGTGACTTCTCCACACAAGAGCGACACTGAGGCGCATAGGTGAGGTGAAGTTTGGGTTGCCGGCCATTGAAGTGCACCAAGCAATGCCCTTAAGGAACTCTGTTCTTTGGGGCTCAACTCTCTGTCAGCCTCGTTGTCCACGCAGGTCATGGGCTTGATGGTCTTGAGGTAGTCAGCCTGCGTCATCACGGACTCAGTGGCTGTGCGGGTGAGTTGACATCCGCAGAACTCGAGTGGGCGCTCACCTTCAACTGTCCAGTGCTTGAAGTTGAAGGAGGTTTTGAGCTGCTTGATCAACTCGTTGTAGGTAGTTGATGTAGTCAGGCCGCAACCAAAGAGGTCATCCACATGGATTCCGACCATTGCTGTCAGGACCTTGTTCTCATCAAAGAACATGTAGAGGCATTGGTCCAGGGGATGTGCTTGGAATCCAAGTTGCAGCAATCGGCGTCGGGCGACTGCAAACCATTGCCTTGGAGCGTCAGCTTGACCATACAGGGGCTTGATCAACCTCATGAGCGTGCCAGGTGGCACTCCGATGAGCTCACATGCATCTTTTGGGACGCGTGCCCATAGAACTCGCTCCTGTGGATCTCCCTGGAGAAATGCGGTTGCCACGTCCGCAGTCCAGCGTTCCCAGGAAAGCACCTCTGAAAGGGCGATGAGCACCTGTCGTGAACTTCTTGACAAAGTCGGTGAGGAGGTGTCAAGTTGTCCCTGAAGTAGGTCAGGATCTGAGAATCCTTGAAGTACCAGTCGTGCTTTGGCCTTGAGGCCACCCTTTCCATCAGCAGCCCATTTCAGCACGAAGGATTCACCCAGCTGAGACTCCTGTCGCTCCTTGTACAGGTGAACTTCAAAACAAAGCTGCCGAGCGCTGCGTCGAACAGCGTCGTGGGTCGCCACAATCCTGCCACACAGTTGAACGACACTGAAACCAATCAAACATATCTGAAACAGAGAAAGGTCACAAAACAAGAGCCAAATCACCCATATCCTTTGTCGCAAGTTGTACGACTCCCAGTAGACCGAATCCTCCGTGTCCAACACCTGGAACATCATTGGCGCACTCTGGATGATGTTCTTCCACGCTTGCAACTCTTTTTCCTCGGCATGACTCTTGATCCGATCTGCCAGGTGGAACACAAGGGAGTGGCTCAACTCTTCTGGTGAGATTTGCCTCCAGGCGCCTCTCGACCCCATCAAATCCTCATCTGCCGCCTTCACACGAATGAGCAACATTTCTTTCAGGTGGTGCGGGCCATTGGCGAATATGGTGACTGCATAGACCTGTTCATGAAGTTCTTCATCAAGTAGTAGTGCTCGGGCCAGGTGTGAAGCCATCTCTTCCTGGTAGTTCTCAGCTCGTTTGCAGCGGTTGCGTCCTTCAAGGCGCTGATGAACGTGCTGTCCATTGCACCGTTTGGACATGATCTCAAGCACAGCCCATTTTGTGGTCTGGATGCGGGTGGTCTTGAGGATGGGCATCTCATAGCCGTCATCGTTGAGGGTTGTTGCACCGTAGGCACATTGATCGAAGACTGCCTTGTGGCCAGGCAGATTCCTCAGTTGTTTGGTCTCCCAGGCCAAACTCAGGCGTGGATGCTCGATGTGAGCGTGAGAGCCGCGGCGAACCTGCTTGAGGTAGAGCTTCTTGCACATAGTGAGGTGGGTCTCAGCATCAACCTCTCGGCGTTCTGCAAGATCAGCCGCTTGCTCCTCATTGGTGATGTTGATCTGCTGCATACGTGACCAGAGCGTGCACTTTGGTGACATGTAGATCTCATCTGGCTCAAGGTCATCACATAGCCGCAGCAGTTGTTTTCTGTGGTTTGCTCGGCTGAAGTCCCAGCCGTCACTGAGGCCAAATCGCATCACCTCCACATCACCATGGGCCTGAAGAAGGCTCGTGATCTTGCCCTCGCCAACGTAGACCTCCCAGATCAGCTTCCTCCGTCGATGCTGACCTCTATCGCGAGCATGGAGGATCTCTTGTTGGACATGCTGGAGTTGAGCTTCGATCCATGACATGGTCTTTTGAAGCTGCTCGATGGTCTTGACCGTTTCTCCAGGCTGAGGCAGGGCTTGATCATCATGATCATCTGCTTCCATGAAGGTCTCCTCAGGGATGAGGTTGGGCTCGGAGGCGAAGTAGGTATTGACCTGAGTGATCATCCTCGCAGCGGAAGTCGAAGACAGGTGACTCGAAGGCTAGCTTGTGGGTCGTCCACATTCGCCGCCAGGCGAAGGAGCATTGCACCTTGTCGACCGCGAGGGATGTCCTGCCATTCTTGGTGAAGTAGTCGCATCTTTGAGGCACCGAAGTTGACTTCTGCTTGAAGTGCCTCGAGGAGTGGTCGTCCAAAGAGCATGGGAGTGGCACCATAGATGATGTATGCTTGAATGCGCCCAGGATGGCCAGCAATGCGAACTGGAAGTTCCACCATCCATCTCGCATGCCCGGAGGCGTCTCCTCCAAACTTGAAGGACTTGTCGCAGCGCTTGAAGATCAGGCTGTTCATGGGGTAGCCAATCATCTCAAGCCATTTGAAGTAGTGCAAGGCATACTCCGTGCCGATCAAGAAGGAACTCGCTCCTTGATCTTGGATGCAGGTGTCCGGCTCGGGAGTCAGCCAGCCGCCAGCTCTGACTAGAGCTTCGCCTTCAGCATAGGCGTCCTCCACATCGTAGAAGATGTCCTCCTCAGCCGTGATCTCGCCGTCGTCGAGGGAGTTGGGGTCAGGCTCAATGG